CACACACACACACACACACACACACACACTAGCTAGCTCTGAACACTAAGCACCAGTGTCAAGATATACCTATCCCCAAGCGCTGGAGTCCACTGTCGATGGCCAGTTGAGGCTTCTTTCAGGGCGATGTTGCTTCAGAAGGGGGCCACCAGCTGGTCCTTTTGGCTGGACAGGCAGGGTGCTGGTCAGGTCAAAGAGGGCACCATTGCAGGTAATTCTTCACTTCCTTTTATCCCTCTCTGGCAGACTTTGGTGACTCCCCAATTCTTGGGCTTACCCATTTCAGGGGTCATTGACCTCTAGGGGCATCCCTCCTGGTAGCTGCTGGATGGCAGCTGTCAGCCACAGGGGTCATATCCACAGGTACATGCAGTCTCAGGAATCTGTTGATGTATTTTGATTGATTCACTGCCTTGATGAATAGAGCTCTGGAAGTGGTTGATCGGGGGTATTTCAGCCCCAAGAGTCTGTTTCCAGCATTGACTAGTTCAAACCAGGGCTTCTGCACCTTTAACAGTGAAGTTTCCGGGAGTTCCTGGCTCTGTATTGATTCTTTCCTCTTCTTGGTCTGTAGTTGTGTAGATGTTAATTGCCACTTGTTAACTTGTTTATACAGACTAGCTACTGTGTTACACAATCAACCATGATTCATTCCGGGACCTGCTCCATACAGAGATTCCTGCCCCTGCTAACATTGTTACATGGTACAACTTACATTTAAACTTATTTGTATTTGTACAAGCTTTATTTTCACTACAAGTACACCTTATATAAAAATAATAATAATAATAATATAATAAAAGAAAAAGAGAGAGGAAGGAAAAAAAGACAGAAAAGAGACAGCATCCCTGAAAGGGGGCAACTATTGCAAAAGGGGCTTTTGCAATATGGAGGGCGGGGGGGGGCAGGCAAAAAGGTTTCTTGCTACAGTTGCATACCTGTGTGGAGGGAAAGAGCAGATTTCCAGTTGTGGGTGACAGAAGTTCATTTGTGATGCAAATTCACAGAACTATGGAAATTCCATCATTCTCATGCCTCCAGCAGATGTGTCACATTCTTTGCTTACCTGCCCAGAGAAGCATCATCTACAACCAGGTCCAAACCCTGAGAATTTTCTCTATTTACTCTTCTAGACCTCTCCCCCAAGCCACAGTCCCTCTGAAAGAAGGAATATATAAAGTTGCTGCTGGAGCTAATGACAGAACTTTCTTAATTGTTAAAATAGGTCAACTCTATCGCTATGGAACCTCCATCACTGGAAGGTTTTAAAAGAAAATTAGACAAACAGTGACTGGAATGGTTCTGGCAGAGATTATCCTGTTTTGAGCAGGGAGCTGGATTTAGATGGCCTTCTGAGACCCGTTCCACACTATCTAACTCTGAATGATGCAAGGCAATGCCATCTACTAAGAACTAAGCACTGTGATGCTGAAACCCTCTCAGCCTAAGCTGCCTAGGACATGGAGTAGGCAAGAAGTCCTTCTCTAGTCACCTAAAAAAGCAGCACTGGGCACAGCCCACTGAGCTGGTCTGCAACCAAATTAAGACACTCCTGTAAAAATCTTACCCAAGAACTTTGGGCTTCATAACCTCAAAATCCTTGTAACCTTACTGCTTTCCCCCACTGGCAAGAGTCTTAACAATCACATGAATTTTAATCTGAAGTACAGCAAAGGACAGGAATCACAAATCAGGTAATTGCAGATTGCAGATTTCATCCCATTAGACTAAGAACCTGCTGCCTCAGAGAAAAGTAACAATTCTCCAAAAGGATAACTAAGTATCTAGTTAAAGGTGCATACTTTGGGAGAAACTTCCCAATGTTAATAAAAAAGAATGAGCAAAAATAGATTTAATCAGGGAAGAAAACAATAGACAAAAGGAGAGCATTCCAGAAGTAATAAATAGCTTAAGCATTCTGGATCTGTTACCTTGATCTTCCAGTTGAACTTTCACAACCGAGTTCTCTGCTACTTTTTCCCTGGCTCTTTCTTCGTCTTGTGACCACTGCATGTGGTCCCTGCAAAAAGACAGTTGGAGAACTTGCCTTTGAATATGATTTTTTATAACCTTTTTTGGAGGTTGGTCACAAATTAGCTAGACTGTATATTCCAGTGTCATACAAGTACATTCTGGTGCAAGCTGTTCTTTCAGACAGTGCCGAAGCAATCTGGAACTCCTACAGTTCTTATGTTTAGTTCCTTTGCTCTGTTCTGAATCCCAGCAGCCCCTGTGCCAACAGATAATATAACGTCCTCTCCTAACTGTACATCCTCATAGCTGATCATTTGAATGACTCTGTGGTATGTTGTCTTCTTATTGCTCTCTCTGTGCAACATTCTGCAGATTTCCCTTTCCTCAGTGATTTGTTCTCATATTGACCAGGGTGGAAACTGTAGTGCTGCTTTTCATATTTTTGTATTTTAAAGAAATTTGTCTTGCTAGCCTGCATTTACCTAAACTTTCCTGTTCTTGTTGAGTTGATTTGTTTTGTTGGAGTGAAATATTTTGTTATATTCCAACTAGCGCCGTCTGTTAATCACAGTTAACTTACGCAATTAACACAAAAACAAATCAATGTGTTAATTTTTTTAATCACACACATCATTTTGACCAGCAGAGAGGATCAGCTCCAGACCAGCTAGAGCCTGTGTGCACAGACCCAACCCTAGCTTGCCCTGAGCCTGCTCCAGACTCACCCACCCATACTGAGCAGTGGCAACAGCTGGGCAGAAGCTGCTACTTGGCATGGGGTAAAGCAGCCCCTCTCCCTCCTTCTTACCAGGCCCAGGCTGCCCTGAAGCTTCTCTCCACTGCCATCACTGCCACCTCTAGCCTGCCCTGCAGTGCAGTCATGGCAGTGCAGAGGAGTTGCAGGGCAGCCCATGCACAGGCTCTGGGCAGCTGCAGCAAGAAGGGCCCAGAAGCGGTGAGGGACCACTTTTCCCCTGTGCCAAGTAGCAGCTACTGCCCGGCCACTGCCGCTGTTCTGCATGGGCAGATGTGTTTGGAGCAGGTGCGGGGTGGGCCAGGGTTGGAACTGTTTGCATGGGTTCTGGCTGCTCCACTCCGGCCAGGGTGAGTCTGGAGTGGACATGAGACAGGACAAGGTCAGGGCTGAAGCTGTGCGCTCTTGTTGGTGGTGGGGAGGAGCAGCAGGGCGCACAGGCTCTGGAATGTTGGGTGGGGGGTGGTGCTGACTATTGTTTAACAGTACAATTAAAATTGCAAGTAATTGCAACTTTTTTTCAACTCTCACAATTAATTGCAATTTTTTAAAAATCATTTGTCAACCCTAATTCCAACAAAAACAAAGTAGCACTGTAACTTTTTATCTGCTAGTTTACAGTTATAAAATATGGTATCCTGGTGTGGTGAAACATGGCAGATAACTATACTTTTTAGGAACATATGAAACAATTTGATCAGAGAATATTTTAGTTGGCATTTGTAAATAGGTTTTGCAGTTTCCATTTTGCCAAGGCACTATACATCCAACAGAAATGGCAGCTGCAAAGATGCTGCTATGGAACTTTTAATAACCAAACTGAGATAAAGATCCTCTCTATGGCCAGTTAATGACTTGCAAATGTCAACTAGACTGGAGTTAATGAATACTGGAGCCAATGTTCTAGCATCCTGCTATGTTTAGATCTTTCAAAACGTTTCTGTTTTTTTCCAAATGTGAGCAAATTACTAGGACTGACACAGAAGCTAGACTGCAGTCTGTATGGGTTAAAAGTTTTAAGTTTTTGTGTATTAGAGATAGAGATGAAACACCAGTGACAGGAATTTCCATCCAAAGATTAAGGAAGAGAAATTTCCAGCTGCAAATGGAACGAAAATCTTAGGCATTTTTGGATTAGCATACACCTTGCAAGTTAGCTCTGTCTGACCATATAAATAGATTTTCTAAGTCACATTAGACATAATACAAATTCTGATGCAAAAGAAACCACTTATTCTTCATGTTTATGATGTAGCAGACTTAAAACTGGTTTGTGAAAAGAGAAAGAGCAATCAGTCCCTGAGAAAAAAGACAGGCCATGGTGCAGTACTTTGTGGCTTGAGTCTTTGTTATTAGGCTTACATAAAAAGTTTGGCGTGGTAATATGAAAGAATCATGTTACACCTTAAAGACGACAAAGTAAGGAGCTGATGCTGACCACTGCTGAACTGCAATTCCCAGTAATTCTTATCTAATCCTCAGCTCATGTCCTAGAGGAACTCCTGCTCCCAAAATTAATGGATAAACTGCTGACTTCATCATGAGCTGGACTAGGCTCAATGGCTGTGTCCAGATGAGTACAGACATTTGGTTCCCCAGGGACAACTAGCAGTGGCACACCTTGCACTATCCACCCTCTAACATGTGGCAGGTTACCCCAGGTGGAGTTGGGGAGCTGGGGCCAGTAACTGTGCTAGCTCCAGCAGCTTTACCTGGGTTCCTGGGGGCTGGGGAAACTGCAGCTGCATTGCTCCTGAAGTGGAAGCCTGGTCAGCAGCCAGGCTCTGGCTCCAGCCGGCCAGGCTCTGGTGTTGGGCAGCATACGCTGCCTCCACGTATGCCACGCCCTTTTTTTCTGCACAGGTTTTTTGACTCTGGGACTTCCCCATTTTCATTCTGCACTGCAAGGTAGGAGCACGGGAAATGCCTCATCTGGATGTGGTCAATGTGTTTACTTTAACTTTGGGGACAGGAGATTTGTCTTCCTCTGTCTGAAAAACTTGTAGCTCAATTTGGGCACTGCCATAACAAAACATTCACTTCAAAGGGCGCCCTGACAATAAAACTGAATTGTATTTTAACCTCTACATTCAACTTGTACCCAGCCAAGTTCTTCTGCTGTAAAATTCCACCTGACTTGATATTTGAACATGTTAATCAACAGGCCAAAAATCTGGAAGGTGACATTTATTTTCAATAGGGCCAAGTTCCATGCCAGACTTTTCTAGCTAACTTATATCAGAAATCAATAGCCTCAGGCATGCTTTTATAATGAAAAAGAACATTCATACACTTTGAAGAAAAGTTTGTTTGAGAGAGCAGTAAGAGTAAAGGAACACGTTTAGATGCACGTTGGTTTCAAATTAACATGTATAAAAATAATTTTGACAGTTAAACAGCACATTCACATGGGATGTAGCAAAAAAATTATGAAGAAGAGAATTATAAAGAGCAGCCTCCGCATAAAGATGACCAGGGAGAAAATGCTGAACAAGCTTGTGGCAATATCAGTTCTACATTTTGCCCCCTCACCGATTCCTGTGACAAATACGTTACAGGCAAAGAACAAAAACCAAACTCAGGTCTGATTACCATGTTTTCTTCTTAAGAGTAAATGATATAATATAGGAGCACATTCTAGACTTACTTGCAGAGTCTGATGCCTTTCTGCCAGGGTTCAGATAGCGGGTAATGACAGAGTGTGACCTTAATTCTCTGGCATCAGTATGAAGTGTGGAGGACCAGAAAGGCAAATACTGGAACATGAATAAGAAAGAGGTGGCCTCAGGAACAAATGCTCATTGACGCTAATACCAGCAGGATGAAAGCACAGATTATTCAACATCAGCTATGGTAGACAGGTCATTGAGTGCACATGCCTGATGAAGGTTTACCAAAACAACTGCTATATTCCCAACTGTCAGGGACAAAGGACATGCAGGGGCCAGAGAAAACATGTCAAAGACAAGGTGAACATTAAGAAGTGTGGCATTGACACCACAAATTGGCAAAAACTAGCCTGGGACTGGGCTACATGGCAATGCCTCTTGAGAGAAGGTATATCTTACTTTGAGGAAAACTGTCTCATCCTGGAGGCAGAAAAATGACAGAAACAGAAGGAAAGGAAAGACCACCAAAAAATCCATGGTCCGACCCTCAACCACCACCTGTGGCATTTGCCAGGAGTCTGCGGTCCTAGGATTAGCTTTCTTAGACATCAACATACTCATTTACTTGGGGTGTACTAATAAAGATTGTTTTAGCTGATACTGATGGCTGATTATTAACCAGCCATATCGACCGATACTAATACGATAGCCAACATGCAGCCCAGTAACTTAGAGAGCAGCATCTGGCCGGTAAGTCTGTGGGAAGGAAGGGGTGAGGTGGGGGCAGATTAAGGCCCCCACAGTGAAGGAGGGAGTGGGGCAGGGGCAGGGGCAGGGGCAGGCGCTGTCCAGCCAGGCTGGGGGGTGGAGTGCGGGATGGAGCCACGGGTAGTTTGTCCAGGGCATGCAAGGAGGTGGGTGGTAGAGTGCGGGGCACCACCAGGGCTAGGAGGGTGGGGGGCTGTAGGTTGGGAATGGGGGGCACTGGCAGGGCCAGAGGGCTGTGGATCGGGAGTGAGGGGCACCAAAAGGGCTGGGGGGGATTCCATGGCTTGGGAGTGAGGGGCAACAGCATGGGAAGGGACAGGAAACTGGCATATCAGAGCTGTTCAGTGCCACAAAGCAGCAGGGGGGGGACAGCTGCAGCTGGACCCGCATCCTGGTGAGCAAAGGGGGCAGAAGGAACCCTGATTTTTTGTGATTAAAAAAACCAAAATCAAACACCAAAATATGCAGGCATTTATAATTTATTTTATTATGATGATTGGGGCACTTGTAAGCTTCCCAACTGCTTTAAAATTGTAAATATATCAATAAAACATTGTGTTCAAATAATACCTATATATATATATAGTGGTGTTTCATTTTAATCATGGAAAAACACAGATTTGGGGGTTTTTAAATCAGAGAAATTTGGATCTTAATCAGAAAATTTGGGATTTTTAAACAGAGGAAATCAGGTTCCCTGGTCATGATATCATGAGTTTGAGTATGTTTGATACAAGATACAGGCAATTCTATTCTGAGTTTACTTTACTCTGTTTCCATTAATTTTTCTGCTAACATGAGGCTATGCCATCCCTATACCTCCAAATATGAAAAAACAGCCATAGTGCTGTAGAAGTGCACTGATACATCGGTCCATATCGTATTGGCTCTGATAAAAGGAAAATTGACATTATTGGCAACTGGCTTTTTTTGGCTGTGGCTGATAATGTTGCTGATAAATGCTGTGTGCATGAGTGCAGCCATAGCACACACGTGCCCAGGAGTGCAGCCTGGCAGCTTGGAGAGCAGTATCTGGCTGGTAAGTCCGGAGGGGCAGAAGGGGCATGGGGAGGACAGATCAAGGCCTCCGTGGCAAGGGCGGGAGTGGGGATGGGGTAGTGGCAGGCACTGCCCAGCTGGCAGCGTGTGGGACAGAGCCATGGTTCTTCCAGGGAGTGCCACGGGCCTCTTGCAGTAGTGTGCACCCCCAGGGGAGGCATGGGGGCACATGCCCTCTGGATCTGTGCACGGGGTGAGGGCAGGTTGCCTACTGCATGCTTAGGGCCAGGGCTGCTCCAGCATCTTCCTGGAGGCTATGCTTGGAAGCCTGGAAGGGGCGGGGCAGGTGGCAGCAGCACTGGGAGTGGGGCTACAGCCACCCCAAACATTGCCGTAGTCGGCCCTCCCAGTGCCACTGCCACCTGCCCTTCCTGTCTGGCCCAAGCACAAACGTTGGGAAGAGGCTGGAGCAGCCCTGGTCCTGAGTGTGCAGTGGCAGCCCACTCTCACCCTGTGCACAGATCCGTGGGGGCACATGCTGCCCGGCTGCATACTGGAAATTGGACTGGTATCAGCTAATATGGCTGGTCAATAATTGGCCATCGATATTGGCCCAAAAAATCTTTATCGGTGCAAAAATCTATATCAGCAGTATACAGATCTTAAGAGAAGTATATTTTTCACCATTGTTTTGTATCATTCATTATCAAGTCAGGGTAAATCACACAACAAATATTTAGGGACATATATATGTATACGAGGCAAAATAAACACTTTAAGCAAAGACCCATATCTCTACCAATAAATCCCACTCAAGTTTAGCTGATAAGTAAATGAATCACAGGATCATAGAAAATTAGGGTTGGGAAGAACCTCAGGAAGTCCATCTAGTCCAACCACATGCTCAAACCAGCCCCAACTAGATCATCCCAGTCAAGGCTTTGTCTTAAAAACCTCCACGGATGGAGATTCCACAACTTCTCTCAGTAACTTCTTCCAGTGCATTACTACCCCCTCCTCCTAATAATTTTTTTCCTAATATCTAACCTAAACTTCCCTTGCTGCAACTTGAGATCATTGCTCCTTGTTCTGTCATCTGCCACCACTGAGAACAGTCTAGCTCCATCCTCTTTTGAACCCCCCTTTCGGTAATTGAAGGCTGCTGTTAAATCCCCTCTCAGTCTTCTCTTCTGTGGACTAAATGGGCATTTATATACGTGCTCCAGGAGTGGGGGGGCGAGGGGAGGTGCTCCAAGTGCCGCTCTAATTAAAGTGCCCGGAGCGTCACATGTAACAGCATCCCCTTGCTGAAAAATGGTAGTAAGGGCACTTAAAGCTTTCATTAAAGCGCCCCTGCTGCCATTTTTCTGCACGGGGTGGCTGATACATGACCCTGGAGTTTGCTGGACCACAGTAATTACATGCTCGAGCACATTGATTAATCAAGTCTGCTCTGACGTGCTGTAATTACAGCCTCACTGCACATGTATAGGCACCTAGTAAGCCCAGTTCCCTCAGCCTCTCCTCAGGAGTCATGTACCCCAGCTCCCTAATATTTTCTGTTGCCCTCTACTGGATTCTCTCCAATTCATCCACATCCTTTCTGTAGTGCATCGCCCAAAACTGGATACACTATTCCAGATGTGGCCTCAACAGTGCCAAATAGAGGGGAAGAATCACTTACCTCAGTCTGCTGGCAACGCTCCTACTAATGCAATACATATATTAATGTAACATAGCAACAGAAAGAAAAATCTTTCAAAACATCTCATTATTTAATAAACTTCTAAACTGTGAAGTTTCCCCTTTTGAAATACCACCACCTTTTGTTATGTATAGGTACACGAATGAAGTCACAGCTTGGTCCTACTCAAGTGTAAAGCTTGCTCGTTCCACACAGCTACAAAAGGATCCAAAAAAGGTTCAGAACAATATACAAAGAAGGGCCCAGTTTAGATTTTTTCCTACAAAGTATATATTTACATTCCCATGCTAATATTTTGGTGAAGACTGATCTCAGGGTTTCCTATTTAAATGACCTATTTATTGCCAAAATTCTATTACAACCAATTTGAAAAAACTGACTAGATTTACCTGACAGACAAAACAGATTTTAAAATATACAAACCTTATGTCCTCTAACCCAATATCTTCTCTCTGACAGGTCCACACAAGATGCTTCAGAGGATGACAGGAGAACCTTGCAATAGGCAGGTGTGAGAGAACCTTCCTTCCATACCCAAAATGTTAGGTCTCACTCTAAGCTCCAACATTTAGAGACTGGCTTAAACCTGGAAGCATGAGGGTTAATACCCTTTTCAATGTTTCTTTTGACACCATCTGTAATGATCAGATAAACTCACTACCAATATAAATGTTCAATTCCTTGTAAAACAATCTTAGCCTCAACCAGTAGTGATAAATTCCAAGGGTGAATTGCATATTGTAAAGAATGAATTTCTTTTTATCAGTTTTGAATTTCCCATCTGTTAGAATAGTGAGGTAGTGGAATAGATTGTCTAGGGAAGTTGTGGACTCTTCATTGCTAGAGGTGTTCAAGATGAAGTTACACAGTCACTAGTCAGGGATGCATAGCTATGCCTATGTTCTACTATGGGTATTTCCCATGCTTCTAGGTTTTGCTGGCTGCAATGTGGGGACAAGAAGGAATTTTTCCCTTCCTGCTGCTACATGTGTCAGGGTGGGTTTTTTTTAAGGGTTCCTCAGAAGCACTGTGTGTTGGCTGTAACCAAGGCTGGGGATTTTGATTGGAGTTCGCCAGTGCCCTTTCTAGGACTTAAATCAGGAGGTTCCTGACTAAAGGGTCTTGTCCCTCTGCTCAGGGTCAGAATGATTGCCATATTTGGGTTCAGGAAGGAATTTTATCCCATAGTCAGATTGGTACAGACTGTGGTGGTTTTTGCTTTTCTCTATAGCAGGGGTCATGGTCCTTTTTTGGGACCTCTCAAGCATATTTTAACAACTTTTTCAGCAGGAGGACATTGGCCACTTTGTCTCCCTGCTTTATCTGCTACAGGTCAGGGTGTTATGTTTTGTGGTAGTGTTGGGGTTGACTGTGAAGTTTTGCTAAGAAATTAAACAATGGATTTGTATAGGATAGTTTAGATAGGGATGATCCTACCTCATGCAGGAGGCTGAACTAGATGACCTCTGGAGGTCCCTTCTAGCCCTACTTTTCTATGATTTTTATTAATGTCCCCATATTCTTTAATTATAAAATTGGAGAATAACACTTCCTGATTTCTTTTCTCTGTATCATTCATTTTTAAACTTTTATTTAGATCCCTCTTATTCATCTCTATGATAAAGTAAAAAATCCCAGTCTTTTCACTCTCCTTATAAGAGAGCTTTTCCATACCCATTACCCTCGATCATTGTCACTCTTTCAAATTTCTTAAATTCTGCCATATGCT